TTGCTCCCACCTAATCGAGTATGGTATACTGTGTTGGACCTGAAAGATGCTTTCTTTTGTATTCCTCTGTCTATTGTTTCTCAGGATTTATTTGCTCAAGGGAACCAACTGGCAGACTCTACTGCCAAACAGATTGCGCTAAAATCAGTGGGGTCCACTGTGTTGGCTGTAGTTACTCTCCCCCCACCTTGGCTGGATACTCCAGTTTATTCTGATTCAGACATAAAGTTAGCAACAACCCTGAGATCCCAAGCTAATGCTGATGGATGGCACATCTTCCCCGATGGTCATTTTCTCCTGCCAGAAACACTTGGGGCCCAGATACTACGAGAGACTCATCACAAGCCATGCATTTAGGGGGAACTAAACTTGCTCAATTGCTCCGGAAAACTTACTTTATTCCTAATCTTATAGCCAAAGCCAAGGACATTAGTCTAAGATGCCCCCACTGTGCTCAAGTAAATCCCAAGGGCAAATCATCTGGTGATCCCCCTCAACAACGACAGAGAGGACAAAATCCAGGAGAACATTGGGAGACATTTCACTGAGATGGGTCCTGGACGCCATGGATACAAATATCTACTGATCCTAGTGGATACTTTTATGGGATGGCCTGAGGCCTTTACTACAAGGACTGAATTGGCTTTGATTGTAACCAACAAATTGCTGTCTGAGATTGTGCCTTGATTTGGTCTGCCTTTAGTAATGGGGTCCGATAATGGTCCTGCTTTCATAGCTCAGATAACCCAAAATTTAGCTGAGTGTTTACAGGTTGATTGGAAGCTCCACTGTGCCTACCGGCCTCAAAGTTCTGGACAGGTAGAACGTATGAAAAGAACCATCAAGGACACAGTTTCCAAGATGGCTCTGGAGTCTGGTGAAAACTGGGTGAGTCTCCTACCTTTTGCCCTCCTGTGTGCTCGGTGCACCCCCTACATCCAGGGTATTACCCCCTTTGAGACTATGTATGGGAGACACCCCCTCTGGTACCCAAGCTCCATAATGTCCATTCTGAAACCATACGTAACCAAGACCTCATTAAGTCCCTCCAGGTTCTACAGCCAGTGCTTCAAGAGGCTCATCGCCTCTTCAGAGAACATCATCAATGGAATACTGACCAACTGGACTCCCCACCCATTGCAAAGCCCTCTGAATCAAGGATTTGATTCCCTCCTAAAATCAGTGGGGAATATAAAAGCCCCACCACAGACATCAAAGTTCTAGTTTAATTCCCAGTTCCC